CTGCAGACTATACACAAACTGGAGGATGAAAACCGGAAATTGATTGAAATCGCCGCCAAATTAGCATCGGCGTTCGACCGACAAGCAAGCATCGGAGTCGAAGTCGGAATGACGGCTCTCGTTTGGGATTTGCGAAGAAGTCAACGAGATCTGGCGTCAGAGAGAGAGATGGCCAGTGCGCAATGGCGGATCATTGAGGATCAGGCATACCGCATTGCAATGCAAGAACGGGAGATCGCTCAATTGAGGGGCAATTTTGTGCCTGGGAACTAGACAACAACCCAAGAGAGAAACTCTTGCCAGGTTGCCGAGCGACCGTTCCAATTCCATTAGAAACGAGGTACAGTACCTCTCAGATTACTCAGGCCTCTTTGGCTGATCCCTCTAAAAACGGCCACACTCTGGAAAATTGAAGCCTTGTTCTCTCGTATCTGCTCCGTAAGATTCGGAGTCGTTAGCAGAAGTAATAATCTGTTGACCGATTCAGAATGACTGTAATCCTTAGTAATTAGGCAACCACCATCATAGTAATTGGACGTGACCTACAGGGTACAATGGTCTCTGCTCAACAGTTCCGAACCATCCCGGTGGTCGATGAACCAAAGCCACTAAAGGCTACGCTCTGAATAAGCTAATCTTTGACTCGGATCTCTTCTTAGGTAGGTAGACATCGCATGAATATTGATACAGTATGGCTTTCAAATGCTCATTCTATTCGAAGAGAAAGAGGTGATCAACCAGGTGTTCTCTTGGCTAGTTGATGAAAGTACACAGGATCCTACCAGAACTATTGCGAGATCTCAAAATTGCAGTGTACAAACAGCCGCGAGCCTGGGCTCACGGATCATTGAGAGGGAAAGACAGACGCAAGGGCTGGAAACGTTGATGAAACCAGCACTCAGTCCCTGAGTACGCCAGCAAATGTGAGCTATAATATAAGACAAACTACCACGTCAAATGAGGTTTCATAAGTCGCTTCATAATTGGGAGGGAAGTTCCCGGGCCCAGCTCAGTGGACTGTCAATATGAACGTCACTTCGGTGGGGCTCGAAGCGAGGCTCCTTGTACCCAGTCAAGTCACACTTGAGGTTTTGTCGGCGGGGATTGGGCTTCAGCACAAATCCTACACGATGTCGTGGTCACGCTCTGGATTCCGTTAGCATCACTGGCTTGGAGGGAGCAAGGTCAATCAGGAGAAGCGGATAGTGCCCATCAACACGGGGAGAAAGTCAGATATAGTTCAGCGTTTCTCGACTTGGTGCCGCTGAATGGCCACAAGCCAATCTGGATCCTTCGTTGACGGACACAAGATGCCAGTCCCCGACTGAGCAGGAGAATTCTGAATCGGACAGACCTTGGGAGGGATATTCATCTGAGGCCCATTTTGGATCATAGTGAGCAGGCCAGGACTAGCCTGCGCAAAGTCTTCCACTTTGCTGCGAAGTTCAGGAGGCGCCTGGCGTAAGATGTAGTTGGCAAATGCAAAAGTGATCGCAGCAAATGACCAAATTTCCTGTCTCTCCTCATCAGTCTGATAGCCTAGTACATGGGTCGCCGATGTGACGTTATGCAGCTGGAAGTATGCAGCTGAAAACTCACATGCGATCTTTCGTGGTCTTTCCGTTTCGCAACATCAGTCTTCTGCTGTATCCTGGAAACCTTCCGCTTGTCTCGACAAGGAGCGCTTGTTTTGAGACTCCGGACGGAAGGCACACGCTTGGTGTCGACATTGTTACCCATCTTGAGTGGCATGTTGACCGACTATGAACCGTAATGAATGCGTCCAAAGGCATGAGAAGAGTCAATCCAATTGCTAGACAAGCGGCGAAAAGGCCGTCGAGGCTGTATTTAAAGAAGATATCTCTGAGCCAGGTGGGATTAGTGTTGCATCCCAAAGAAATAACCAAGATGGATGGCAGTTGAGAGCTCTCTACAAACCAGTGTGTAGACACAAAAAGTGGGTATGGGGCCGCCCTTAGTGCTTGATTCGGCAAATAGCGCGACGCCGGCGTCGCCACCATCATTTGCATGATGATTGAAACGATGCAACCCAACCAGATCAAGACAATGCAATCATAAGACCAGAGACTACCATCGAGACCAGGCTTGGTGTCTGTTCCACCAACCGAAACACATCATCACCTGATGAAGTGACCGGTACGAATCGGGACCAGGTGTTCAACATGCAACCATGCCACTAGCGCAGCACCCCGAGTCGCAGCATACAGAGTTCGACACTTATTATGTGGACAAGGCGTGGACAATGAAGGATCCGACATAAATGACACTCTCTTGCGCACTATTTGCACACAGTCACTACTGTCCTTCCTGGATCAATTCCTGGACCAATTCCTGGATCAATTCCCAGATCAATTTCTTGCGTTAAGTGCATCTCAATTGGCCCAATCGCCTACCTAAAACGGATCAGCCACTCAAATGGGGGCAAAGTGGAACAGATCAGAACTGGAGAAGCTGCGATCGTGGGTGGCAGAGCATGACAAGAAGGGTACCAAATGGTCGGAAAGAGAGAAGAGGTGGAAAAAAGAGCAGGGTACGCCAAGATCCGCCGCGGCAATCCGTGCGCAATTCCTTCGTTTGAGCCATGGTTGGATACCCAAGTGCATGATCGACCAAGCGCAGTCGTCGGAATCATGTGATCAGGCGCCGACTCCTCCTTCTCCACAATTTCGGCACAGGTGGTGGCAGCTTCGAAGAAAATGCGCCTCCTATCCCACCCGCTTGCCTCGCAAGCAGCGTCGGTACCGGGTAAATTTGTTTGGCAGTGTTATCAAGTCCTTCAGATCGACGGCGCGACGCAGTTCTTCGCCACCCGTATCCACACTAAGCCGGCATTCCACAACCCCACGAGTCGAGCACTCCACATCCCTTCCAGTCCAGCATCCTGTAGAAGGCACACCAAGAAGTTTGGAGAAAGTGCTTCCGCCTTGTGATGACGTGTCCAGATTACAGTCTTGCCTCGAATTCTGTAAGTGATGACGCCCAAAGAAAGCGATCTGCTATCACTAATACAGCTTCAGATGTGGCTTACCGACTGCATAACACATCGATGAAGGAGATAGCCGCAGCAATTCGCGGCGAACCTACCACTGGTGCTACGCTGATGCCCGGCTTGTGATGACACAGATTCAGATTTAGAATGTTCTTGTACTCTAATGCTGAGACCTGTTCGCATGGTCTATTCGGCTTCCCTGGTGAGATGGCAATTATAAAAAGCCGACGCTGGCATCCAGCTTAATAGGCTTTCTACAGTCCTGGGAAGGCTAAGAGTCTAGGTCGTATTGGTATAAAGCCGTATCTGCTTGGGCAATTAATTCACTGCATGCCCTTTTTATTACTCGCCCAATCGGATCCAAAGTACTTTGTCCAGGGGCTGTGCGTTGCGAGCCAGAACAAAATACGTAGGACCATCGGATTAGAGCGAACTCATGGCCCGAATTTCCTGATATCATCGGGCTGCGGAAAAGGAGACAAATTCTTCACAACGGCAGGCACCTACACGCGCCGATATAAGGGCCCGATCCACGCCGCTATTGTAATTGTTGCTCGTTTCGGATTAATCACTTTAGAAGCCTGCGAAGCTTACATCCTCTTTGCTCGATGGCACCGTGGTTATCACTCGAGAAGGAACTAGGAGGCTGGAACCTCGTTGACAGTCACGGCCTCCATCAAATTGTGGAAAAGATGGATCGACCTCGCGAACGGTATCCATCGGTGCAGCTTTTCGTGGGCGGAAAGACCAAGGCAGAGGCGCTCCGAGCGCTGTATCCCCACAACAGCTATGGGCGGTCGAGTCGATTCGGGCTGGCTCGAGTGCATCTATCTGAGCTTCCCGGACCGGATCCGATCGTCCTCATTGAGAGCAGTTTACAGTCTCACTCCGAGGTGCGGGCTCCACGAGCGACCGTCTTGCGCCAGCAACCTGTATGCCGAAGTCACGACTGTTCGCATGACGAGGTCCGCAATCTACTATACCAGCAGGTCTTATTGCCTATGGCTCACACCGTGTGTCTCTTCCTGAACGATCTCTCGAGCACAGACGATATCGAGGTGATACAGAAGCTTCTCGTAGCCTGGCAGGTACCTTCGAACGGAATAGATAAATGCCGAACGCCTCAACCGCATGTGATAGTAGTGTTGACGAAAGGGCCGGAGCGACAGGTGTCGGGCGAAAGCATAGCACGTCGCCTCTCGTCCGCTACTGTCCCTCACGTAGCCGCCGCGATATCCGTTGTCGACCTGCGTGATCGCGGCGAGTTATCACGAGCCAGCCGATTTCAGCCGCTCAAACACGCCGTGACCCGCCAACAAGAAGCAGCGCGCACGATACGAGCGGAGGCCCGGCTTCTTTTCTCCGCCACTCATCTGGATGCACTAGCCCGGCAGTCCCTCAAACACGCGGCACGGAGGCCTACAACTCCACTCGATTACATTCAGGTGAGTCGACCTAGCCAGACGAAAGAAGTTTGCGCGGCACAGCATCTGCATAGCTTTTTAAAGCTTGCGGATAGTATACGCCTTGAACGGCAATACGTGGCGAGGTGTGTTGCGTCCGCGATGCTCATGAACGCGTACCCTCCTGGAATGCACGGTAAGCCAACAGGACACCCAAGAAGCAGAGCTCAACAACAAATCCGATACATCGAAGCATTAACACGGAACAGGATTCGATCCTATCAGCATGTTTCGCACATTGTACGCGAATGATTGTAGAACCGCATGTCTAACCTGGCCGCCATCACCGGCAAACGCTTTCCGTCAGGCTGTCGAGCGCGAGTTCGCGGTGCTGTTCGCCGCACTCCAACAAGCACCAGGGTCGGCTAAACTCCGGGCCAGCGTTCTCCGCCAAGCTGCCTCCACCTGGTGCACGGTGAAGCCCAGCGATATCTGTCTCTTCTGTTTGCGGCAACCACCGGTGCACGTGCTACCCTGCGGCCATGCGATCTGTGACACTTG